AATTTAATATGAATCCAATTCCAACATCGTATCCTTTCAAGTTTTTTAATGGAATTTCATAAAATGAAAAGATGTTTCATATTTAATTTTATCAAGACTGTGTAAAAAAATTGACGATTTTATTTAAAATTTTAAATTTCTTTTTTTCATTCGACTGCGACGATTACATGAGAGATATTTATTATCAATCATTCACAAAGTGCGCCTGTGTGAGATTAAACAGGAACCATGTCTTAACAGGAAACATTATGCCTTGGGGCCTTAATATATGTTTTCTCTTTTAATTTTCACTTTTTAACGATAAAAAATTAAAAAAAAAACCTAAAAAAAAAAAGCAAATTAATTACTCTTTTAATGTCGTACGCTGCTAAAGAATTAATCACGTCGATGTATCAGCCATATTTTCGAATTTGACTCTGCTTATTTCTTTTTTCAAATTGCAACCAAGTTATTGTTTGTTTGTTTAATTTACACATTATGTATCGTTTAATAACTTCCTCATCGAAAAAAATCTTCTCTAATCATGTGGCGCGAAACAATTTTTGTAAATATCTAAAATTTTAGTTTCTGTCAAACAAATAAAAATTTAATACTAAATTGATATATAATAAATTTATATATTTTACGTTTTGCGTATCTGCTTATAAATAAGTAAGTTGTGTCAACATTATTACACATTAAACACTTTTTTAATCCTTTTTTTCAATATTTATCTTTCTTTTCTATTGATAGATAAAGAAATAGATAATTTAATTATATTATAAAATCATATTTATAAATATCTATCTATGTTATGATTGATTGTTTATTAATCTGTATACTAGTGTTGATTATATATATATTATCTATTTCTATTATCTATCTATCTGTTTTAATTATCTGTCTATTAATCTAAAATACTAGTTTTGATTTTCTATCTATCATCTAATCTTACAACCTTTATTATATTTCTAAATGTATACTAATGTTGATTATTATTTATCTATCTATCTATTTATCTATATAATAATAAAATCTATTATCTATCTATCTATCTATTAAAGAAATCATTGTTAATTATCTGTCTATTAATTTGTATACTAGTGTAAATTATCTATCTATTTATCTATTTATTATAATTCATATCTATCTATCTATCAATAAAATATATTAATTATTTGATTTAATTATATTGTATACTAGTGTTGATTATCTATCTAAAGTATTTATTATCTAAATTATTCATCTATCTATTATCATCTATCTATGCAAATTTATATATCTAATATTCATATATCTTTTATATATAGCAATTATCTATCTATCTGTGTTGAGTATCAATTATCTATCTATTTCTGTTCATATACATATCTATTTGATATATATGTTGATTATTTATCTACCTAGCTAAATAGTTATAAAAATTTCTTCATGTCAAATTATTTCCAAAAAAAAAGTTTCATCCGTATGCATTGATCATTAAAATTTTTAATTTATTTTTATGTTCATTAATATTTATCTAAAAACAAAAAATGAAATCTGAACATTGGTCTGGGCTCGAAAGAAATAAGAATGGTAGGTATGACGGATACAGAAGAAAGAAGGAAATAAGTACAAAAAGAGGGAAGGGAACAAAGAAAGCCGAAAGAAGAAAATAGGGAAGAAAAAAATTTAAAAAGAATTTTAAAATATATATATATATATATATATATATATATATATATATATATATAAATTGATATATTTTATGTATTATAGTTATATTTTTGACGATGTTATATTAAATTAAATTGAAATATGGGTCACAAACTCACATCTATCCAACCAAATATATTAGCTCTATAATCTGATATTGATAAATTTTTATAATAAGTATTATTTATATAACTCTTATAAATAATTATACATATATATATTTATTTATATTTATATACACTTTTTCATATATATATATATATATATATATATATATATATATATATATATATATATATATATATATATATATATATATATATATATAAGCAAATATATGGATATAGATCCGACAGTATGAAGAAAAATATACGGAAAAAAAAAAAAAAAATCATTTATATACAATTTATACTGTTTTAATGTTAATATGTCAACGTTGGACGTTTCGGTCTAATAAACCATCTTCAGGACATATTCATAAATATAACATTATCAATACAACATGACAAAGACGATGTACATAAGAACAAGACTTATCCAAACAAATAACTGAAAGTTTTATAAGATCAGCGCCCCGTTTAAAACCTGGTCACGTTGTCGTCACGTGGGCGACGCTGTGAAAACGTATTCTTAAAATTTTGGGTATTTTGAATGAAAAATGAACACGAGGTTTTACGGACCTACATGTTTCACCCACATATTTTAAGTGACAATTTTTGCATGAGATTCGGTAGATGCAATCATAGGATGTAATATGTTGGTTGCTGGTGCTATTTAATCAACTACGTCTTTGTCATGTTGTATTGATAATGTTATATTTATGAATATGTCCTGAAGAGTTATTTATTAGAGAAACGCATAATTGTATATAATTTTTTTTGTTTTGTTTTTTATATATATATTTTTTTCATATATATATATATATATATATATATATATATATATATATATATATATATATATATATATAATCTAGTTTGCAGTAAAAGAAAATTTTTATGAATAACTGTCCGGGTTTCAATTCTCGGTAGTGGATGCGCACTGCTGATGAGTCCCAAATATAGGACGAAACGGCCGTCCAGTGCTTTCTGCATTCTGAAAATTAAAGAGAAGGAAGAAGAAAGCGAGTAGGGAATAGAGAGAGAGTGAAAGAAGAAAGAAAGAAAATTATATATATATAGATAAATAAAAAGAAGAAGATTTAAGGGATAAAGAGAGAAGAAGAAAAAATTTTGTGAAGGGAATAGAGAGAGAGGGAATCAGAAAATGGGTAGGGAATAGAGAGAGAGAGAGAGAGGAAAGATGAAAAAGCGTAGAGAATAAAGCATTTTAAAAAAGAAAGATCATAGGAAATATAGAGAGAGGGAAAAACGAAAGCGAGTAGGGAATAAAGAAAGAGGGAAGAAGAAAGAGGGTATAAAATAGAGAGAGAGGGATGCAGAAAACGGGTGGGAAATAAAGAAAGAGAGGAAAAGAAAACGGGTGGTGTAGAGAGAGAGAGAGAGAGAGAGAGAGAGAAAGGGAAGAAGAAAAGCAGGTAGGATGAGTTCCAAATATAGGACAAAATGGCCGCCCAGTGCTTTCTGCATTCTGTTGAGGTTTCTTTTAGACTCGATGAATTACTTATTTATGTGTATATATACTAATGAATATTTAGACAGTACCCTTTCCTTTAAACATCTTTCATTAAATACACCAGACAAAGAAGATTTGATTATGATTTTCTTTATTTTTTTCAGTATCCTCACGTTTTTCCGTATATACAGAGTAACTGAAAAATAACTCACTCTTTTAAGTGTGATGGACTCTCCTATCGAACTACAACTTTTAAAGACGGGACAGTTTATTATACATAAAATGGGGAGTTACTTTTCAAAGACCCTGTATCAAGTATTTAATAAACTTACCCGCTCCTTTCCAGATTATCATCATAGGCTATTCGCTGCAGATATATATGGCCAACTCCTCCCGAAGTCACATGTAAGGGCTTACATTGGATGGATTTCTATTAAATGAGTCATTACGAAATGAACATAGACTGAATTCAAATATGATCCACGCTCGCAAAGTTCACGTTATGGCCGGCCTGAATACTTTAACAGGGCGCACGTATATGTGTACTTTATTGAAACAAAAGTGTAGCAGTTATCGATGTTCGTAAAAACGAAAAAAAATAATGAATCATTAAACAGGTGTCGATAACATTGATATTGATGCCGGCATCGCGTGAAAAAAAAATGTATAAAATATCATTTTACTATTTATTCATATACTAGCAGTAGAGCCCGGCGTTGCCCGGGGATGTAACAGTAAGAGATTGATCAAGTATCGACCATCATAGAGACTGAAAAATAAAATTGACAAAGATTATTGTTTAAGGTTGACGGACACGCATGTTTTTTTTTTTTTTTTAACGAATTGGTCAAACCCAAACTCAAACAAAAAACATTGTTTTCAATCGTTATGAGTCTACCGATTGAATAGAATTTTATTATAAACAATTGTCTTGTAAATGGAATTTTTAAAGCATTCTGAATGTAAAAATAAAGAAAAAAGTGTGCAAGACAATAAGAAACACTACCTGCCAAAAAAAACGTGAAGTTTTGTTGAAATCGGTTGAAAAATGTAGGAAATCCGATCCCATATATAACCGAACACAGACACACACACACAAACAACCTGGGTTTTTATAATAAGTATAACTCGAGATGAGTTGTCCCCCTTTCATTCACGCGACAGCGATGCCTCTTAATCGTGTTTTCAAATTGATTTCGTGCAAAAACAATTGTTTTTCCAATTTTTGGTGCTGTCAAAACCACCGCAAGGTAATTTTACGTAGTCCTGTGAAGTTTTGTTGAAATCGGTTGAAAAATGTAGGAAATCCGATCCAATATATAAACGAACAGACACACACACACAACCTGGGTTTTATAATAAGTAGGATTTTCATGCTAACTTTCTTTCTGTTTCTTTTATGTTTTCCCTTTCTTTTTCTTTCTTTCATTATTCTCTTCTTTTCTTTTTTTCTCTCTTTCTTTATTCTTTACCTGCCGTTCTTCGAAATTCTTTATTATCTGTAAGTCTTTTTCTTCCCTCCATTTTAAATTCTCTTCGTATTCCCTCCTCCTTCATTCTTATCCAGCCTCCATTTTTTTCTTCATTTTTTTTCCTACCTCCTCATTCTTCGGGTAATGAATAAAAGGAAACGGGAAAAAGAATGTTGTGTGAGAATATTGAAAGAGGAAATAAAAAGACGAGGAGAGAATGAAGAAAAAAGGAAAGAGGAAAGCGATCATGGAATGAAAAGAAAAGAGGCTGGGAGGGAATTAAAAAAAATGTAGTAGGGAAAAAGGTGTGGAAATAATAATGAAATAAGGGAGAAGGCAGGAAGATAAAATAAAAAAAGATGGAAGGAAAAAGCGGAAAGGAAAAAGAGAAAGCGGGAAAAATGTGGCGAAGGATCGAAGAAAGAGGGAAAAAGAAGTTAGTGGGGAAAGACAGAGATACGGAAGAAGAAGAAAGCGGCTAGGGAATAAAGAAAGAGGAAAGAAGAAAGCGTGTAGGGAAATAGAGAGAGAAGGAAGAAGAAAGAGGGTAGGAAATATAGAGAGAGGGAAGATCAAAGCAGGTAGGGAATAAATGAAGGGGGAATAAGAAAGCGAGTAGGGAATAAAGGAAGAAAGAAGAAGAAAGCGATTAGGGAATAGAGAGAGAAGGAAGAAGAAAGCTTGTAGGGAAATAGAGAGAGAAGGAAGAAGAAAGCGTGTAGGGAAATAGAGAGAGAAGGAAGAAGAAAGCGAGTAGGGAATAGAGAGAGAGTGAAAAAGAAAGCAGGTAGGGAATAGAGAGAGAAGAAAGTAGAAAGAGGGTAGGAAATAGAGAGAGAGGGAATCAGAAAATGGGTAGGGAATAGAGAGAGAGAGAGGAAAGATGAAAGAGCGTAGAGAATAAAGAAAGAGTGAAAAAGAAAGAGGGTAGGAAATATAGAGAGAGGGAAAAACGAAAGCGGGTAGGGAATAAAGAAAGAGGGAAGAAGAAAGAGGGTATAAAATAGAGAGAGAGAGGGATGCAGAAAACGGGTGGGAAATAAAGAAAGAGAGGAAAAGAAAGCGGGTGGTGAAGAGAGAGAGAGAGAGAGGGAAGAAGAAAAGCAGGTAGGAAATAAAGGAAGGAGGAAAAAGAAAGCGAGTAGGGAATATAGAGAGAAGGAAGAAGAAAGCGGGTAGGCAATAGAGAGAGAGGAAAGTAGAAAGAGGGTAGGAAATAGAGAGAGAGGGAAGCAGAAAACGGGTAGGGAATACAGAGAGATAGAGAGAGAGAGGAAAGGCGAAAGAACGTAAGGAATAAAGAAAGAGGGAAAAAGAAAGAGGGTAGGAAATATATATAGAAGGAAAGACGAACGCGGGTAGGGAAGAAGAAAGAGGGTATAAAATAGAGAGAGAGGGATGCAGAAAACGGATGGGAAATAAAGAAAGCGAGGAAAAGAAAGCGGGTGGTGAAGAGAGAGAGAGAGGGAAGAAGAAAAGCAGGTAGGGAATAAAGAAAGAGGGAATAAGAAAGCAAGTTGAGAATAGAGAGAGACACGGAAAAAAAGCGGGTAAGGAATAGAGAGAGATAGAGAGGGAAGAAGAGAGAGGGTAGGGAATTAAAAAAGCTGGAAGAAGAATGTGGGGTGGAGGATAAAGAAAAAGGCAAGAATGTGGGGGAGGAAGAAAGGAAAAGTGAAGAGAAGCCCGGTAGTCAATAAAGAAAGATTCGTATAAAATGGCTCTTTTCTATTTATTCATACACTTTCAAGCTACGTTTCTTTCCATCACTTGTTCTTTCTTTCATTCCTTCATTCTCTTCTTCTTTATTTTTCCTTTCCTCGTATCTCTTCTTTTATTCGTTCACCTTCTTCTTCTTCCGTATTCCTTTATTCCCTCTATATCTTTTTTATAAGCTTTTTCTATAGCCTCACCCAGCTTTCTTCTTACCTCATTCTTAACTCCTTCCTAGCCTACTTATCTCCTCTTCCTTCGCTCATGCTCCTTCCTTTTTTCTTTTTTTTTTTTCCTCCACTAGGCTTATTTGTCCTCTTCCTTCATTCCCTCCCCGTCTTCTACTTTCCTCTGTCTTTATTCCCTCCTCAAATTCTTCTTTCATTATTCATTCCCTGATTTCTTATTTTCTCTTTCGTTATACCCCAATGTCTTCTTCCCTTTTCTTTCTTTCTTCGCTTTCCCTCTTTCTTCTACACTATTTCTTTATTCCCTCCCCGCTATCTTCGTTCCATTTTCTTTATTCTCGCACCAGATTTTTCTCCTCTCTTTCTTTATTCATTACTGTTGTATTTGAATAATGTGTCGTTGCCGACTCTGGAGTTTGAACTCAGATCCCCAGTAAGCCAACACAGGTGATTCCATTTCTAACAAGTAGACCACGTGATCGTAAAGGAAAGACATATAGTGATTTTCCAAGCATAGCTTAGATGTGGCACAAGACCGAAAGTAAGGTGCACCCAGTGAGGATCGAACTCAGTCGTAATTATTCCAGCGAGACAAGCTTGCTAACCATTACACCGCCTCGAGGTGCCCCCGAGGAAAGCCATTTATGGGAACTAGCAGGATGGCCCGGCGTTTCCCGCCTATCTCACACTGAGAATTTTTTCTAAGCTCTATACTAAACATTAAATCTGTTACGAAAAAAGAACTAAACAAAATGAACACAAAACGATCAGCTTTAAAAAAGGACTCGTAACTAGAAAAACCGAATGAAAAAAAGAATGTTAACAACAAATTGTTTTTTCACACCCAACCCAGTTCTGCAGAATCAGAATCAACGTTGAGTTTAAGCAAGCGAATGAGCCAATTGGAGTAAAGTACCATGCAAATTTAAATTTTTCCCACTTGTGACGAATACAGCTATCGATTTTTTTTTTTAATGCTAGCATGCTAGTTAACATTCGTGTCAGTCAGCTGTTGGCTCTCACGCTGGCCAATAGAATCTGCCTGCCTATTCGTGGCACCCAGCTGTAGGCTCTCCCTCTGACCAGTAGAAAATGGCCGCAAACTACATGAAAACTGTCGTAGAAGCATGAAAAATTAATTATTTCCACTACCGATGGGAGTTGGGAAATGCAATATCGGTCCTGGCCTTCCCGCTAACTTGGAGCATGTGCATGTAAATTTTGGTGCAAATCCGTCAAAAATTGCGGCTGTGCATTTGTTACACACACACATCCTGCCTTTTATAGATAGAGATTAGCGTGGCGTCTAAGTGATCGTGATACTCTTTACTATCCTCTATACTATTTCTCTATACTAATCACTCTACGGATTACTATTCGGCGGTTACTATTCGAACAATTATTACTAGTGCTAGTATTATTCGTAGGATTTACTACTAATATCTGCGATTCCAAAATCTCGACTACAACGAGAATTACGAACGTGATAACGAGTATTCGTTGACATCATAAAAGTGACAACGACGAAGACGTGTAACATCACAAAAATTCCCTTCTTTATTCTTCTCTTTTTTTTTATTTCCTAGCCGCCATCTTTTCTCTTTCTTTATTTAATCGCTTCTTTCTTCGACCCGCTTTCTTTATTCCCAAGTTACATTTTCCTTCGCTATTTCTTTATTTAACTTCCCCCCACTCTTTTCCCCTTCGATCCCTAGCTTCTTCTATCGGCTTTCTTTATTTCCTACCCGCCTTCATATCTCTTTCTTTAATTAATCCATGCCTTCTTTATTATTATTATTATTATTATTATTATTATTATTATTATTATTATTCCCTATTAGTTGATTTTTTTTTTTCTTTCTTTTTTTTTAATCGCTTCCTTCTTCTTTATTTCCAAGTTCCATTTTTCTTCGCTCTTTCTTTATTTAACTTTCCCATTTCTTCTTCCATCTTTTTTCCTCCCCACCACCGCTTCTTCTTTCGGCTTATTTCCCTTCCCTCCTCTTTCTTCCCTTTTTTTGTACTTATTTCCTTCTTTCTTCAGCATCCTTCATATCTACCATTCGTATTTCTTTCTTAAATCCCATCGTTTCTATCAACTCACCTTTATTCAATGATTCATGAGAAACTATTCTTCTTCTTCTTCTTCTTCTTCTTCTTCTTCTTCCTTTGCTCTTAACCCCAGAAGGAGCCGTTGAAAGCGCCGACGTACATACCTACACACGATTCTTTTCCATCTGTCGCGGTCATGTGTCAGAGTCTGGTTTCTTGGTGTTCTCATCATGTAGATTGTCTTGGTCGTCTTAATCTAGAAGAGACCATTCTCTCCTGGTTAGACGACAGCCGACGTCCTCCAACTGGGTAGCTTGCTTTGATCGCGAATACGTCCTGTTATAGTTCATGTGATTAACCCTTCCGCCTGACCGGTGTCCTACATCGAGCAGGTCCTTAGCGCAGTTGTACCGTGTTAACCACTCCCTCACGTGAGTTTAACAAGTCAGCACTTTTACACCCACATAAATACCACACTTTTCCGTTTTCTTACCGTTCTACTGACTTTTCTTCTGTCCTTTCTATCTATCCACCATGCCGTGCCAAAGGTTAAAAAATATATATATATATATATATATATATATATATATATATATATATATACTTGAGCTTATTTGGGGAACACCGGCTAAGATATCTGTGGCAAAATAGCGCGAATTATCGACGTTCAGACAGGATTTGATAACAGCAGACGAAAGAAATATGCCGGTTCTGAAACTGTTGAGACATACAACATCACTTGATCAGAGGAGTTTCCTGTCATCGTTGACAGCGCAAACCAAATACGTATGGCTAGAATTTTCTACAGCAGGGGTCGTCAAACTTTTTCGACTGCAGATAGCCTTTTGTTTCTTTTCTTTCCCCAGCAAAAGCCATTTAAATTATATTTGAACCTTAAATCTTGCACGGTATTAAATAATTGTTGTAGAGTAGTTTTCACAGTGGAGGTTTGTATTTCAATAAGTCGTCCTAAATTAGGTTCGACGTATAAAACGTTAGGAACTTGGAAATAAGAGTTAATGACGCAGCAATCTACTTGTGATGGTTGGTACTTCAATGCCCGATATCGACTGACTCGCTCAACACCACTGAGCCGAACTGTCCACTGCTACTACTACTTATTATCTGTGGGAGAGTCCATTACAATTGAATAGGTATTATGGCATAACAATAATTAAATTAAATAATCATATATTGCACCATACTCGATGCAATCATATACGAATCAGGAAAAATGACCTTCATAATCGTAAACTCTATTTTACAATTAGAATTTGAAAAAAAAGGGCATTGATATCTGAAAATCAATTTGGAACAATTAAAAAAGAGAGCAAAAACTGCTACAGGAAGCATTTAATAAGTCTCATCAAAATAAATGAAAAAGCAACTTGGATCGATATAATTAAGGCTTTTGATTCTGTTGATTGATTGGTTGATATTATTTAACAGCATATCAACACCTTTATTAGCACGACAGTATTTTACGTCCTGGGTAAGACGATAAACTACGCCCAGCAGCAAGGCCTTTGATCAGGAGATTTTGAAGTGCGTCCAACCACCTCTTAATTGCTGATGTTCGCAGGCCCACCTTGTTCCGGGGTGGTAGCACCTGTTAGGGTCCCGGCTATAGGCAAATAGTTAACCCCTAAACTGTCGTCAAAACACTATGAAAGTGTAAAAATAGGTTTTAATACCAGAAACACTTTGTAGAAAAATTATGAACCAGCAATAAATTTTTGAAGAAAAAAAAAACTACTACCAAAAAATATATTTTTGAAAAAAATATTACCAACAATGTTTTTAAAAAATAAATATTACCAGCAACATATTTTTGAAAGAAGAATATTATCAAAAATAGCTTTTTGACAAAACAAAATATTACCAGCAATAAAAATTTTGTCGGCATTAAATAACCCATTGAGATTGGATGCCGTAAAACAAAATAAATCAAACCAATCTAAACCAAAGAATAAATATTCTATTCATACGAATCTATCCTAAAAATTTTGTTGGCATTAAATAACCCACTGAGGTTGATACGCCGTAAAACAAAATAAACCAAACCAATCTAAACCAAAGAATACATATTCTATTCATACGAATCTATCCTAAAAATGTGTCGGCATTAAATAACCCATTGAGGTTGATATTAAAAAAACAAAATAAACCAAACCAATCTAAACCAAAGAATACATATTCTATTCATACGAATCTATCCTAAAATGTTGTCGGCATTAATAAAACCCATTGAGGTTGATATGCCGTAAAAAAAAAAAATAAACCAAACCAATTTAAATCAAAGAATACATATTCTATTCATACGAATTTATTTATAAAATGTTGTCGGCATTAAATAACCCATTGAGGTTGATATGCCGTAAAAAAAAAAATAAACCAAACCAATCTAAACCAAAGAATACATATTCTATTCATACGAATCTATCCTAAAAATTTTGTCGGCATTAAATAACCCATTGTGGTGTTGATATGCCGTTAACCAAACCAACCAAGCAACAACAGTATTTTATCACTTCTCGAACGTTTAGGCCGGTGGGCGAAAATAAATAAATACACTGTTTAATAAATAAACTGAGAAATACAAGTATCCACAAAAAATAAAGTTTATAGCAGGTGTCGTTAAACTTTTTCGACTAGAGACACCCTTTTCTTTCTCCTCCTTCCCAGCGACCACCATTTAAAATATCTTTGACCCTTCAATCTCAAAATGATGTTGGCAATTAAAATGCATGAAAAGTTAAGAAATTCGAATCAGGTTCAAAATTACACCCACCGCCAGCATCATTAGTTTCCGAATTTTTCCCGCCAAAATATATTTAAGAAAATATATTAAATAATCCCAATGAATCAAGCAAATAATATATTAAGTACACCGTAACCAAATATAGCCGATGATTTTAACACAAATGCATAATGCTACTGCACAACTGTACTTATTAAATTGAATAGACAAATATTGCACC